TACTGTTCCTGTGTGGTTCATGCCCTCTGAAAGATTCTGCCCTACTACCTGAAATGGCCCAATCAACACTAACAAATGGAACTGAAGACACAATTGATGGATGCTGGCTTCCTAGGATGCATAGGAATGGTGGACAGCTCCTTAATTTGCCTGGAGATGAAGCCTAGGAAAGATGGAGAACTGTACTTTTGTAGGAAGAAATTCTACTCAGTGAGTCTCTTTCTTTTCTGTATGTTTACAAAACTCACTCAGTTACTACATGTACCCATCCCTTGCCTGTATAGATTGTTATTCAAGGAATTTGTAATGACAATATGTGTTTTACTGAGTATGACCTTGGATGGCCAGGGAACATTCAAGACACTACTGTATTCTACAAATCTGTAGTTTGGAAGAGAAAGGAAGACCACTTCAAGAAAGGTGAATATCTCCTTACAGACAAAGGTGAGTTTCCCTCAGCTTTATATCTCAATGTGTAAACAGCTTGCATTCTCACATTACTGTCATTTTCATTTTTAGGGTATCTATTAACACTTTACACAATCTGTCTGTTTGGTAAAGCTGAAATAACTAATGACCCTCACAAAACTTGCTAGAGACAAGAATTTAATTAATGTCACTCCAGCATTTGTATTACTATTGAGTACTCCTTTGGCATACTCAAAGAACGTTTTCCAGTCCTGTAATGTATGCTAGGAAGTGACTTAGATGTAATCTACATGACAGTTGAGGCACTCATAGTTATTCACAATATTTTAATAAATCTACATAATGATCTAGAGGATATTGAGGATTTTGATGGACTGGATGAAATGCAGGACAAAGCCTGTAATGTAATTTGAGATGCTAGGATTTGTAATCTGTCTGAAATCCAAATGTATTGTACTAGTCTCATACAGTGCAAACAAATCATACAACTTATAAGACTATAAGTATAGTCTATTTGCCTACACATCTTCCTCTTTACTAATGTCTCCAAATATTGTAATGGACTTTCAATGTTGTCATATATCTTCCTCTGTGACCACTCATATCACTACTTTCTTCACTAGGATATTGTTAAGACTAATATCATATCTGTCAGCCATTAATTGTAACACTATTTTACAACTAATACACTGAGTAGTACTAGTAATGATAGCCATGCCTTTAGCAGACATATCAGACAAATGTATACTACAGGATTGAGGGGATGTTACAGATAGATGAAAGCAGGGATGTTATTTTATTTACAAACGTCTATTTTAATTGTCAATCTATAGTTTTAATATGTATATTGATTTTTCAAAATTCTATGAGTCTTTTACCCAATTCTTCAGCCATACATTTGTTGACTGGATCATCCAATCCACAAAGCTCCTTGTACCTGCAATATTGTTTGTAGTGTAACTCCTCCTTGTCAAGCTTTGTGTATACTGTACTGGCTCTGTCCTCAATACACTAACACTTTTTGTCCATTTGCTTCTAGTATTTGAAAAGCTCAGCCTTGAGTTTGACAGCCTCTGCTTAACAATCATGTACAGTAATCAATGTATCTGTAATGATTGCATTTATGTCTGATACATTGTCTTCTTTCTTACACTTCCAGTTTTTCTTAGCTTCTTCTTCAGTAGTTTCAGGATTCTTGTCAGAACTGAACTCAATAGAGCAGTTCATGTCAGCTTGACTAGCAGCCCTGTAAAATGAAATAGATGAATAAAATTGTAGGTTTTGGACTTGGAAAAGAAGATGAATGTGTAGATTGAAATGTCTACATTTGTGTCTAAACAATGGTAGTATTAACACAGTCTCAAAGGAAGACAGTACTTACACAGTAAGTATCATAGTATATATTAGACTCTCTGAGAACTTGATCATTATAGCTTGAGTGTATCTCTGGAAGTTTGCTTCCTGTTTACCTTTCTTCTCTATTTTGTCTGTGTCCTTTGTATCCTGGTCTTACTTACTGTTCTTCTGTGTTTCCTCTTTGTCCTTTGTCTTATCCTCCTCACACTCAGTAGGATCTCCATCTTCTGTATTGAAGTCAGTAGCAATGTTTTTGCCTGGATTATTAGCTTTGTCTCTATCACCTCTACCTGTGTGATTCAGGAATCCTGTAAAATTGTAGGTTAGACATAAATGTAATGAAAGAAACAAGGTTGACATAGTACTTGTAGCATACTGTTGTAGTGCCCCATGTGGTCAATTTAAGACTATTTCACCCATTTCTATTCACTACAACCCTTATACAATACAAAAAGTTATAATTATAAATTACAACATCTTGTCTACAATATGCTGGTTTTATTTTTGTAAAAAAGTAAAAATTAAATATTTTATTGATTTTATAAAATGACAAGTCAAAAAGTGTGGTTTGATGCATCTGACCTACATGTGGACACCCTGTGGGAAAGGAATTTGCCTACTGTATCTAAGTACATATTCTCAGTACACAAACTCAATTTTGACTCTATCTAGAATAATTTGAATTAGAAACAGAAGTAATTACATTCTATCTGTTTTTTTAAGTTTATTGACTAATGAAATTACAGGAACAGGCTTAATATAATGATTGGAAACTATTTAATTATATTCTACTATCTCTCTCTTACACTCTCCTCTATCTCTCACTCTCACTCACTCTATACTTCTAGTGTATACTAGTTCCAGTATAGAGTATATTACTTCCTCTTCTGAGAGTTGAGCTACTGTGTTTGTTTGGAAATCTCTCCTCTTATAAAGTAATACATATTCTACTATTTTATATAAATACTAATTAATTTCTTCCTCCTTTATTTCAAGCTTATATTCTTTCTCCTTTAGTTATCAAAGCTATACTACTCTAATACACTTGACACTGTTTATTCTGAAGGACTTACACATTTTAAAAAAATTATAACATTATTCTTACTACTAATACTTGTAATAAC